CCCCCCCCAAAGCCCCAGTAGATAGTTGTATGTCATAGCTGCACATCCTTCTAGTTGCTATATGTGGGACACGGCCGCAGCATGGCCGGAGAAGTGGTGTGTCGGTGCGCGCGGGGATCCGAACCCAGGCCGCCAGCAGCGGAGCGCGCGCACCCAACCGCTAAGCCACGGGGCCGGCCCTGCACTCAGTTCTAATCTGGTACTTTGCTAGAGTTTTCAGGTGTCCTTTGCATTTAGTGATTTTAATGCTTCAATTCTAACGTCCATGCACTCTTTTGGTGGGAAGACTAGTGATGGAGTAGCATTTGGATAATTGCAGTTTAGCTAAAGAATGTTATTTCTCTTACTCTAAAATTTGTCTTTCGAGAGGGAGGGAATTTAGCTGATCTGTTTTAGTATAGCCTGAGTGATTGAAAACGACTAACACATTAGAGGGTATTCGATGTTTGTTGAATGAATGGATGCTAGAGTGAATGAATGGGAAGTGGGAACATTGTTTCGTTTACCTGTAATATCACCATAGTTTATCAGTGGCAGGACTCCTTGTGTGACTAGACACTAGAAATCATACCACTGGGGAATGGAGGCTGCTGCTCCATTCCAGTGGGCCCATCTGAAGCTGAAATTTATACCCTGTTGGCAATGACAAAGCATAGGGTTCAGAGTAACAAAATCCTTACTGTGAGGAGTCTAGCTACTGGCTGGGGCAGAAAATTACAAAGATCCTGTGGTAGTGTGGGAATGATTAGGCTGATCATGCCTGATAATGTCAGTCCTTTTTATCTCTGCTTCCTAACCTGAATAGTTGCTCTCTCTTCAGAAAGTTGATTTTGCACTAATTTCTCTCTTCTTTCTCATCTAATAGGTGAGACCAAGACGGTGATGCTCTCATAATGAACGTCAACCAGTCAGCGCCACCTGTGCCGCCATTTGGGCAGCCCCAGCCTGTCTACGCAGGATATCATCAATCCAACTATGGTGGGCAGCCAGGGTCCACAGCTCCCCCCACTCCCTATGGAGCCTACAATGGCCCAGTACCAGGCTATCAGCAAACACTTGCCCCAGGTATGTTTCCAAGTTTCTTTTGAGCTAAGGAGGGGAATCACTAGTCTTCAGGTTGGGTTGTATTGCCCTGCCTAAGCTGCCTAAAGAGTTGAGGTGACTGGGATTGAGGAACATGAATCTGGCTCTTGGTCACTGAGAGCCCTGTGGGCAGTCTGCCATTCCCTGTTTTTATATAAGATGATTGTGTTTCTGCCTTAAGACATCTAGTGGGAGCACGTCTTCTAGGCTTAATGGCAGTTCACTTCCTGTGGGTGTCACCCCGTGCAGCCTCACCTGCATTGTTCACAGCTGGATGAAAGTGTTGTGGTCACAGCTCCTCCAGGGCCTGTGACCAGGATTGTATTTCCTGTTGACCTAAAGTCTCCCTGAAATCACTTGTTTCTCATTGATAATGCCTCTCATTGGGTTGGTGGTTCTATCTATAAATGACTCTGGGACATGGGGAGCTAGTTCATAGATGAACAGTGGTGTTTGTGTGCCTGATTTTTGGTGCCTGTCATAGCTTTCTTCTGATATGATTCCTTTTCCTTTGCTTGAGTTTCCTCTGCTTCTTAGATGCTCTGTGATTTGAGGGCAACGAGAAGACTAATCTGGTGATGCCTTAGGATCAGTATTTGGCTTTTACATTACTTTTTCAAGAAAAGCAGCTGGTACTCTACAGATTATCCATAAGGGCTTTTTAGAAAATGCTTAACAGTAGATCTTTGGTTAGGCTAGCTGAGGACTTAGGATATGCCAAACACTTAATGTTTTTTAAGAGAGTAAACTGCATAAAGGGATGTAGGGGCAAAAAAGGCACCAAGGAGGCATAGGTAAGATTTGGGAAATAAATGAAGTATTACTATTTTAATTATAACTTTGAAAAAAAATTCATGGAGATTAGGTCTCAGGTCTTTGGAAGAGCCTGACTCCTGGTTGGGACTTTGGCTGGACAGAGTCCACCTCTGATCTGTCGAGTCCTGGCTTATCAAGATGGAGTTTGGCATTGTCTCAAGAGGAAGCTTTGTTATTAAGAGAAAAACCTATCTGGTTCTGTGATGGCTAGTGAGCAGGTTCAGATTAATCATGTTCCTATAGGCAGATTCTATAGTGTCTAATCTCTACTGAGGGCAGAGGAAAAGAAAAACAATTGTTTGAATAGGGGTCAGCAACATTTCCAAAGTGACGTGTCAAGTAACTAATTGCGGGCCAGCCCTGTGGCTTAGCAGGTAAGTGCGCGCGCTCCACTACTGGCGGCCCGGGTTCGGATCCCGGGCGCTCACCGATGCACCACTTGTCTGGCCATGCTGAGGCAGCATCCCACATACGGCAACTAGCAGGATGTGCAACTATGACATACAGCTATCTACTGGGGCTTTGGGGAAAAAAAGGAGGAGGACTGGCAGTAGATGTTAGCTCAGGGCCGGTCTTCCTCAGCAAAAAGAGGAGGATTGGCATGGATGTTAGCTCAGGGCTGATCTTCCTCACACACACAAAAAAGTAACTAATTGCTTTCTTCCTGCATTTCATGTGGGAAGGATGGTTGGGGATGGTAAAGTAGCTTTGATTGCAGCTCTGATGAGTGGAAAGGATGGAGCACAGCTTTTGTGAAGACATAGGTGGCAGCACTAATGGAAGGGCAGGCCAACTGTCCTGACTGAACTATTGGGCAGAAACAAATTCTCCAACCTATAAGAACGCTTTTCTGAGTCATGTGCTATTAGGAGTGTCAATACTTAGAAGAGGATGAAAATGAAGATGGTTAGGATAAGTAGACTATATGAAGAAGAGGTTGGCAGAATAGTCTCCCCAAGAGGTGCCTTTCTTTACAACCTAGTTCAATATATTACTTGGTGATCTTCTGTGCCACCTTTCTCTTATATGCTCTAAGTTTCTGAGTTCTGGAGTAGGATCTTTCCCTTAAAAGAGTTAACTTTTTTTCTAGGGTAAGAACGTTAGACTGTCCTGGATTGAGTGAGAATGTGTGGTGATTACAGGAAGGCCCTACATTCTTGCTTCTCTGGCTATAGCTTCATTAGCTTCACCTATAGTATACCTGTGTAGGAGAATAGAGGCTCTCTGGCTGGGCGTCCGTATTTAGAATCTGCTGTAGTTGGAGTTGCATGTTGATGATGGTGTTTTCATTGCAAAGCTGTAGTATTGGGCCAGTGAAGGTCTGAGCTTTCTGATCCTTGCTTTGCATTCCTTGCTTAGGGTGGAGGAGCAAGTTATTTCCCAGTCACTTAGTTTCTGTCTTTTACCCTTAGGTGTGTCAAGAGCCCCACCTTCTTCAGGGGCACCTCCAGCCTCCAGAGCACAGGCCCCTTGTGGCCAGGCTACATATGGCCAGTTTGGCCAAGGAGATGTACAGAATGGGCCAAGCTCCACTGTTCAGATGCAGAGGTATGTACTTGTGTCAACCTAAAATTTGTCTGATTAAACTGGAAGGATTAGGAATGTATGAGGGCCTATTTCCTTTTCTTTTTCGCCTTTCCCTTAGATCCCTTATTCTCTTCCCTCCAACTTTTTGTATTTTGTTTTCATTTTTCCGGGTTACAGGTACTGCTGATGTCCACTCTGGATTACTGACCCATCTTAGTACCTGATTCTTTTGCATATTCTTTCTCTTTCCATGAACTTGAGTTTTTTCCTTGATGAGCCATATATCTTCAATAATTGCTGTGGTCCTGCTGAGCCTACCCTAAGGGAAAAACAAAAAGAAGGGACCTCAGGATTATTTATGCCTTCTCTGACTTCTTCTTTTCCTCTAAATGAGGCACTTAGTAGGACTTATTGGTTAAGTTTGGGTGTGACCACTTACGAAAAGAAAAATACTCAAAGGAAGACCACGTGAATGATGAAACATTGGGTGGTGCATGATCCAGTAAATCCCTGTCTTTGCATGGAAGTCCGTTAAAGGAGGGCAGTCATCTCTGTTGGAGTGTTGTTTATTTTTTGGTAAACAAAGTATAAAGTATAACTATGGGTAGGATATGTGGTAATGGAAGGGTCACTTTCTGACATTTTTATTGGGTGTCCAGGATATACATTTTTAGCATTGAAGGTAAGCCTGAGAAAGAGCCTGGGAAGCTCTTCTTAACCCTGTCTGTTGAAAAACTCTAAGAAGCAGTATAGGGAAGTCATTCATTCATTCATCCACTCAAAAATATTTATTTTGTGCTATTATGTGTCTGACATTGTTCTAGAGGTTGGAGATAAAGTAGTAAACAAAACAGACCAAATCTCTGCCCTCATGGAGCTTACAATCTAGTGGAGTACACCGAAGATAACAAGTAGACAAATATAAATAAGAAATAAAACAGAGTAAGGATATAGACAATGACTGGTGAGGAGGTTGGGAGCTGTTTTAAATACATTGGTCAAGGAAAGCCTCTCTAAAGTGATATTTGAAATCTCAGTGTAATGATAAGGGAGCTATCCAAAGGTCTGGGGGAAGAGTGTCTTAGATAGAGGGATCAACAAGTGCCAAAGGCTGTGATGGAGGAATTAATTTAGTGGATATGAGGAAGAGCAAGAAGGCCAGTGTGGCTGGAGCAGAGTGGAGAGTGGAGGAGATAAGGTAGAAACATAGGCAAGAGCCATATCGTGTAGTGTTTTGTAAGCCATAGTAAGAAGTTTAAATTTGATTTTAGTTGCAGTGAGAAGCCATTGGAGAGTTTTAAGCTGGGGAGTAACATGTTCGCATTTATTTGTTTGTTTATGCGGTGGATCTTTTCGTTGTAATATAAAACACATACAAAAAAGCTTACAAAACAAATGTATGGGTTAGTAAATTATTATAAAGTAAACCCCCGGGCCGGCCCCATGGCTTGGCGGTTGGGTGCGCGCTCTCCGCTGCTGGCGGCCCGGGTTCGGATCCCGGGTGCATACCGATGCACCGCTTCTCCGGCCATGCTGAGGCCGCGTCCCACATGCAGCGACTGGAAGGATATGCAGCTGTGACGTACAACTGTCTACTGGGGCTTTGGGGGTAAAATAAATAAATAAATAAATAAAAAAGAAAAAAAATTAAAGTAAATCCCCTTGTAACTACAATCCAGATCAAGAAATAAAACTCTGCCATGCACCCCAAAATCCCCTTCCATGTGCCCCAGTTCAGTCATAACTCTCTTCCTTCCCCCCTTAAGTAACTATTATCCTAACTTTTATAGTAACCAGTTTCCTGTGTTTTTTGAAATAGTTTACACCCAAAGGTACATCCCTAGACACCACAGTTTAGTTTTACCTATTAAAAAAAAACAGCTTGATATGTTTTTTAAGTTTATAGGTTCCCTCTCTGTCTCTTTCTTTTTCTTACTATTTGTCTGTTGACGAACCCGAGCCAATTGACCTGAAGAGTTTCTCACAGTCTGGATTCTCCTGGTTGTATATTCATGTTACGGTTCAACATTTTCCTCTTTCCTCTGTATTTCTTGCAAATTGGCAGCTGGATCCAGGTTTGATCCCTTTGGGTAGTGTGGGGCAAGACTATAGGAGGCACATAATATCTTGTTTTCTTGCTTTTTGTGATGTTAGCAGGTGTTGATGCTTAATGCATATGTATTTTAATTTGTTGGATTTACAAAATGGTGATACTCTTTTGTTTCTTTTTCATTTATTTGTTTGAATACCATTATAGGTAGTTCTCGTCATCTGTTATTTGGTTACCAGTTGTGCAATTCATGTAGGATAAATGCTTGATTCTTTACCTTTATTTATCGGTTTACAAGGGAATGTATTGGTCCTTTGTTACCTACTGAAGGTGACCAATTTTTTTTTAATATCATTATGAATTTATTCATTTAAACATTTGATGAGTTTCAATCCACTGCAATTATCATCATTATTGAAGTTCAAAGTATTCCATCTTTGACCAATGGGAGTCTCTTCAAGTTGACTTCTGAGTCCTTTTGACATGACCCTAGTAATCTTTAGTTATAGTAAGATGCTCCAGTCTTATCATATACATTTTATGCCCCAGACAGGGAATTAGCCATTTTTCCAAGAAATCCTTTATTTTGTTGGTGAGAAATGAAGTTTTGTGACTATAATCTGGGCACTAGGAATGTTCATTGCTGCCTGATTGGTCACTTTCTAGGCCTTTTCAGTGGACATAGCTAAGAAATACATATCTACATATCTTTAGATAAAATACCTCATTAGTTTAAATTTGTACTTTCAATTCAAATTCAAGACTATAGCCTTTACTTAACCTCTGTATTATATCTGTATCTCTTTTCTCCCACATCAGGAATCTTGGTTCTTAAGGCTGTAGGGTAATGGAATTAGAATATTGGAATATGCCACAATTTCTCATTTATTTTATCTATTATACACAACAGTCTTAGTACAACAGTACTAACACTGTCACAAATGTGATTACTAAAAACATTACTTTTTAAAAATTTTACATATGCTCTGCCAATTCTCTAATTTTTTTCTTTTTTGGTGAGGAAGATTGGCCCTGAGCTAACATCTGTTGCCAATCTCCCTGTTTTTGCTTGAGGAAGATTGTCGCTGAGCTAACATGGGTGCCAGTCTTCCTCTATTTTTTGTATACGGGATGCCGCCACAGCATGGCTTGATGGAGTGGTGTGTAGGTCCGCGCCTGGGGTCTGAAGCTGCGAACCCGGGCCGCTGAAGTGGAGTGCACGAACTTAACCACTATGTCACCAGGCCAGCCCTCTGATAATTTTTTTAAAAATATTTATTTTAAAAAAGAGGTCAATTTGCTGGATTCAAGAGTAGAAGTAGGGAATCCTATTAGGAGGTTGTTGCGGTAGTTCAGATAAAAGAAGATCTTGGCTTAGTTTAGGATGGTAGTGGTAGAGGTGGTGGGAAATAGATTTGGTATACATTTTGAAGGTAGAGTCAGCAGGATTGAATGTGAGTTAAGAGAGAAAGAGGAATTCTGGATGTCTCTTAACCGGTCGGCTTAAGTGACTGGGTAAATAGTAGTGCTATTTACTGAGGTGAGGAATATTTGAGAAGGAGCAGATTTTGGGGGTGAAATGAGGGATTTTATTTTTTACATTATAGGTTTAAGAAAGCTACCAGCTATTAAGTAGAGATATTGAGTAGGCAGTTGTATATACAAATCTGCACCCGAGGAATGATGTCAGGACTGGAGATATAAATTTGGTTTAGAGATATAATTTAAAAGCCATGGAACTAAATGAAATCATTTAGAAAGTGAGTATTGAGAGTAAAGAATAGAATTGAGTACTGAGCCTCGGAGTTTACAAACATTTAAAAGGAAGTCAGGAGGAGCCATCAAAAGACAATGAGAAAGAGCAGTAGTGAGATAGGAGATTAGCCAGGAGAGTGTGGTGTCCTGAAACTAGGTGAAGAAAGCATTTCAGGAAGGCAAGAGAGTAATAAGCTATGTCATTTGCTGCTGAAAGGTAAGATGCGAACTGAGAATTGACTGTTGGGTTTGGCAAGGTTTGGCATCATTGACAAATGTAGTTTCAGTGGAGATATGAAGGCAACTGCCTAGTTGGTCAAGAGTTTCATCTGGGCAGTAGATTAATATAACCTGAAAACCCTTCTGCTATAAACATCTAGAAAGGAGAGAGGAAATAGAAACAAAAATTTTTTTTCAAGTGCATAATCAAGGTTAAAAGAAAGAAAGTGAAATTCTCAAGTGCCAGAGACCAAGTGGGAACTGAAAATCAGAGTAGTAAGTTGACACTGTAGCTGCCTATGGAGAAGGTGGGAATTATCGTCATGAGAACCTGGGGACTTAAGTTTAAGCAGATACTGGGGATGGAGGATGATCCTTGTGCTTTCCTGAGCTGAGGTTTGGAATTGAGAGCTTGTTTATGAAGTCTGGACCTGGGCTGCACCTTCAGTGAACAGGTAGCCTAGAAGAAAAAGTCTGCAGACTGGCAGAAGGAGATAATAAGGATCCCTGTTTCTCCTGGGCTACCTGTGGGTAAGTGGGAAATAAAAGGTCTTGGGACTGCAAATGGACACGAGAGATCTTTTTGTGGTGATGAAAATGTTCTAAAATTGAATTCTGGTGATGGTTGCACAACTCTATAAATTTACTAAAAATCGTTGAATTGTACACTTAAAAGGAGTGAATTTAATGGTATGGAAATTATATCTTAAAGCTTTTCAAAAAAATTTGATCTTGGGTGGCAGTTTGTCAGAGTACCTTACAGAAACAAATGTGAAACAACCACATTCCCTTAACCCAGGCCGTAAGAGATTCTCAGAGGGAAAAAAGTATTGATTAGAGTAAGTAGAGATTGTTAGAGGACAGCAGATAGTAGAATAGTACCTTGAAAGCATTAAGGGAATATGATTGTCAAGGTAGAATTATGCACCTAGTTGAGAGAGAGGGCAAATAAAGACGTTTTTAGATTAAAGACTGAGAGTTTACCATGTATAGACCCTGGCTGAGAAAACTACTAAGGGATGGACTAGAAAGAAGGATCTTTTTTTTTTTTTTTTTGTGAGGAAGATCAGCCCTGAGCTGACATCCATGCCAAGCCTCCTCTGTTTGCTGAGGAAGACTGGCCCTGAGCTAACATCTATTGCCAATCCTCCTCCTTTGTTTTCCCTTTTTCTCCCCAAAGACCCAATAGATAGTTGTATGTCATAGTTGCACTTCCTTCTAGTTGCTGTATGTGGGACGCCATCTCAGCATGGCCGGACAAGCGGTGACTCAGTGCGCGCCCAGGATCTAAACCCCTGGCCGCCAGTAGCGGAGTGCGTGCACTTAACCACTAAGCCAGGGGGCCGGCCCCCGAAAGAGGGATCTTTAAAGAGAGAGAGAAATAGTAATTAAAGAAGTAGAGACAGAGACAGAGTATAGACCATTTCTTTTGTACTGTTTGGCTAAAAGAGTAACAAAAGCTTGAGGGGGATGTGAGGTTTTTAGGGCAATTTTGTTTGATTGGATTTTTTTAAAACAACTTCATTGAGATATAATTCACATACCATGCAGTTCACGCATTTAAAGTTTACAATTCAGTGGCTTTTAGTATATTCACAGATGTGTGCAACCATCACCGCGGTCAATTTTAGAACATTTTCATCACCTCAAGAGGAAATACCATATCCTTTAGTTAAGTAGCTACCCCTATTTGGCTATTCCTTCAATCCTACACTTCCCCAACCCTAAGCAACCACTAATCTACTTTTTGTCTATAGATTTTCCTATTCTGGACTTTCATATGAATGGGATCATATACCATGTGATATTTTGTAACTGACTCCTTTCACTTAGCATAATGTTTTCAGTGTTCATCTGTGTTGTAGCATGTATCAGTACTTCATTGCTTTTTATGGCCAAGTAATATTTCATTGTATGGATATAATACCACATTTCTGTTTATCCATTTATCTGTTGATGGACATTTGGGTTGTTTCCACTATAATTGGTTATTTTTTGAGATGTTTGTGTGTTTTTGTGCTGATGGGAATGATCAGAGAGGGAGACATTGAATGGAAAGTGTATTGGAAAGACAAGTTCCAGAAAGGGAAAAGATATTTACACATAAAGTAGACGTAAAGACATAAAAAGTCAATCCAGTTGAAAAAATAATGGACAAAAACCAGAATAGGTATTTTATAAAAGAAGAGACAGTAATCGCCAAAGAACATATTAAAAAGGTATGCAACCTCATAAGTAATGAAAAAAGTACAAATTAAAAACCACAACAAGATTCTCCTATGTATCCATCAGATTGGCAAAATTAAAAAGTCTGACAATACTAAATATTGCTGAGGATATGGAGGATATAGAGTAACAGGAACTTTTATCCACTGGTGGTCAGATGCATATTAGTACAACTACTTTGGGAAAATAATTTGGAATTATCTGTTAAAATTGAAGACACGCATACCCTATAATCCAGTAATTTCACCCACAGATATGTGCCTCAGCAAAACTCATGTATATATAAACAAGTTATATATATGAGTGTTCATAGCAACATTGTTTGTAATATCCAAAAATTAGAAAAACCCAAATATCCGTCTACGTTAAAATGCTTAAGTAAGTCATGGCATATTTATTTAGTGGAATAATATTTAGTGATGAAAGGGAATGCTAAATGCAAGCATAGATGAATTTTGTAAATGTGGTTGAACAAAAGAAGCAAAACCCAAAGAGTATGTATGATGTGATATGATGTGATTCTGTTTACAAAAGTCTAAAAAACGGACAAAACTGAGCTATATTATTTTAAAGACAAGGGAATGATTATTAGGAAGTTAGGAATTTAGGAAAGTAGTTACTGTGGGAGAAGGGAGAGGGCTGTGATGGAGGAGAGGTACACAGGGCCTTTGGGTGCTACTGTATTCTATTCTTTGACTTGGTTTTTTTGGTTACATGGGTGTTTGTATTATAATTATTAAATAGTATGTATATTTTTAATGTATTTTTTTCTCATTATAACATAATGTAATTTATGTTATATTTCACAATTAAAAAGTAAAGTACATTGGATCAGGTATGGGATCTAGTTCTAGCTTGGTCTGCCACTTACACTCTTAGTATCTTAGTTTTCTATCTGCTCTGTCTCCCTCATTATTTTGCTGTGAGAATTAAATTAAATAAAGCACTTAGAGATGCTTTATAAATTGTAAAGCTATATACGGATAAGGTGGTGGTTTATTTTTACTAGGGCATGTGATGGAATAACATTGGATAGTTGATACTATTATCCATATTAATGGATTAGTACCATGGAATATAATTATTCTGACAAAGATTTGTGAGCATCTGCCCTGGGGCTAACAGTATGTTTGGTGCTATGGAAGACAAAAAATGCAAAGCCTGACAAAGTGCTTAGGGAGGTAAGGTTCATTAGCATAATGCTCAGAAAATACTAGTTGAATGAATGAATGAAAAATGTTAAACTGCAGGACTAGTAGAAGCTGACCAAATTTAATCAAGTACCAGTTATTTAGTAGAGACAAAATAAGCAGGAAGGATAAATCAGAATTTCAATGTAACAGAGACTATTGTGAAGAATTTGATTCATTCTTGAAATCCCAGAAGGAGCTTGTTGTGTATAATAATCTGTGTTGTAGATTTTGCGGTAATATCACTGTAAAACACCAGTGCAGTTGCTAATTGGTGTACAATCATACTGGGATGGTTTTGTGTTTATATTTTAACATGCCATCTGATACCATGGGAGTGTCCACCATAGCTATCCAAGTAGCGAGGTTTTGCTAGATAGATGCAACTAGAAGGCTCCCTGGTTTATGTCCTGTTTCTCTGGTCCTTTTCTGGTAGAGTTAGCACCATCTTTCTGATTAGTACACAATGCCAAACTCAGCTGACCTGCTTCTCTGATCTTACAGATCTTTCTAACACCTTTCTCAGGATAAAGTAATAAATACTTTGGTTAAAAGTTAAACAATCAAACTGCATTTGTTTGACCCTACATTTGTTAAGCATCTGTTGTGTTAATGTTTCTGCGCACCTTCCCTTTTAACTCCTTCAGGGCGTCTGATCACAAAACTGAGGTGGTTTGTTAACAAAAGATCGAAGAGGTAATAATCTAACTAGTAGAGTAAATAATGTTTGATCTGAGGGTGCTTGGCATATGTTTGTGGAGTGAACCTAGTGGAAAACAAGATTTGCCATGAATAATCGCAGTGTAGATCATCAGGAATGTAATTTATCCACAAATATACAAAAATATGAAGCCATAAAAGAACCCAAGATGAGAGTAAGATGCTGTAAAACAATATAGCTTCCTGTATGATGTGGAGCTTCTGCCATCTTTGAAGGGTATCCCAGCCTGGTAGTCACCTCTCCTTCCTTCTTTTCACAGGATCCCTGGGTCTCAGCCGTTTGGGTCAGCCGCATTGGCCCCTGTGGTCAGCCAGCCAACTGTGTTTCCTCCCTTTGGCCCTCTCCCTTCAAGTGCACAGGTGACTGCCCAGCTGGCCGGAATGCAGATCAGTGGTGCTGTGGCCCCAGCCCCTCCCACTTCAGGGCTGGGCTATGGTGAGTAGCTGGGACCACAGGAATGTTATTGTCCCCTTCTTTTTAAAAGCATCAGGCTCTGGGGGTATACCTGAATCCCTTTTGTGTCTTGTGCCTCTGAGCCCAGCAGATGGGACATTCATTCTTGCCCCTCTTATGTGGAAAGGGAAGTGATTTGCTGAACAAGGAGGCAAAATGACTGGGGTTCTGATTCTACCTCTTCTCCTTCTCAGGCCCACCAACATCGCTGCCCTCAGCCTCAGGAAGTTTCCCTAACTCTGGTCTGTATGGCTCCTATTCTCAGGGCCAGGCTCCTCCCCTTAGCCAGACCCAGGGTCATCCTGGGGCCCAGCCTCCCCAGCGATCTGCTCTACCACAGGCCTCCAGCTACACACCCCCAGCTTCAGGGGGTCCTCGGATGCCTTCGATGACTGGTCCTCTCCTGCCTGGACAGGGTTTTGGGGGGCCCCCAGTGAGCCAGCCCAATCATGTGTCCTCACCTCCTCCTCAAGTTCTGCCCCCTGGCACCCAGATGACTGGGCCCCCAGGAGCACCACCACCTATGCACTCCTCCCAGCAGCCAGGCTATCAGCTGCAACAAAATGGTGAGTTTTTCCCAAGGTCTGTCTAGGAACCAAAGGCTTCAGCTATTAAGGTGTTTTTTTGTTTTTGCTTGCTTTTAGTATTGCTTGCTAAGTGGTGAACTAAATGGATAGCTTCAGGGAATTATTACTAGGATGTGGGGTTTATAGGACGTTCTTTTTTCTTGTAGTTCATAAACTGTGGTCTTTCTCTGAGTGGTCATTACTATATCTCATAATTCTACGTTTATAGGAGTTTAGTCATTTCCCTGAGGCCTTAAGAAGAGATAGGGAGGGGATTCTGAATTCATCAACCTGGTGCCCTTCTCTCTCAGGTTCCTTTGGACCAGCTCGGAGCCCTCAGCCCAATTATGGAAGTCCCTACCCAGGAGCACCCACTTTTGGCAGTCAGCCCGGGCCTCCTCAACCACTGCCTCCTAAGCGCCTGGACCCTGATGCCATCCCGAGCCCTGTAAGTAGATACTTATGTGGTCCTGGGGAAGGAGTTTGTGACTGCCAGATAAGTGAGTCAACCTAGATGAGATGTTTGCCTAGCATTTTCTGATTATTTTCCCTTTTCATTCCTCATCTTGTAGGTACAGAACCTAGATGTAATTTTTGACTCTTTGAACTGGAACTTGAGGCCTCAGAAGTCTTTTGGGGGTACTTTTGCTCTGTAGCTGGGCAGGAAAGGAAGGGAAGCCAAGAGTGAACAGCAGTGTCAGTAGAGTTCTGGGTTGAATGCTGCATTCTGTCACTATTGGACATGGCATGGTAACCTCTGCCCTTTTATGGAGTAGTGGTTAGGTCCAGGTGTTGTTCTTTTAGATCTAGTAGGATAGCAGTCTTCTTAATGGGTAGAGCTGATGGGAATTCTCTGGTGTTAGGCGTTACAAGAAGGAAAGCCTTACTGGGTTCTCTCTGCCCCTACTTGGACAGTGTTTCAGGAGGAAGCCTCCAGTACTTTTGTTTGCTAGGCTTCTGCTGTGTGGATGGGGAACAGTGATCTACAGTTTACAAGGGCAATAAGGGAAAGCTGCTTCTCCCAGGAAGAGGGTGAACCTCACCCTTGGAGCCATCAGAATCCTCAGGCTTTCCTTGTCATACTTGGAATAGAGGCTGGGGCTGTACTCCCAAGTGGGGGCCACTTTATAGTTCTGTCTGCAACATTTGCTATGTCAGTTATCTCACCATGCTTAGCCATTGCCATATTCCATTCTGTTCTCTTCCCTCTTCCTTTGGGGAACTACCATGGTGAGGGACCCTGTTGGCTAAGGCAGACCCAAAAGGATTAAACAGCCCCTCTTCCTTTCCCCTTCTTCAGTGAGAAAGAGAATCTGATTGGATGTGAGGGGAAACTTCTTTCAGCATAAAAATAGTCCTTAGATGGGAGGTTTGTCCTTTTGGAGGGAACATCCCTCTTCTTCCTTCTTAAGATTTCTCCCATTCAGCCCCTCCCTGTATAACCCTTACTTGCCTCCTGTTTGCACCTTTCCTTATCTTTCTACATCATAGTCTGAGCCATTAAAGCCTTTGTGTTGGGCCAGAAAGACTTGGAATTTCTGATCTAGAGGGGGCCTGACTTCAGCAGTTTGAGCTGGGCTCCAGCTGTTCATGTCTAACTCATCAGGGTTGAAAGAAGTAACATCTGCTTCTTGTTCTTTTGTCTCCCTCCCTGTATTCCCCTGCTGCCTTTATTATTAAAACACTAAAAGCAACTCAATGAGCTGCCTCCTCAGCAGAAAACCAGGCACAGAATAGACCCTGATGCCATTCCTAGTCCAGTAAGTGCAGGGGGTGGGTGTGTGTGCGCGTGTCATCTCTGTGTTAGTGCCATCCATGCATGCCTGTGACCTCATCTTCGCCTCATCCACCATGTCCATCCCTCTCCATCCTCTTCCCTTAGTCCTTCTAGACCTTTACTTTTACAAACTAGAAGGATGTGCATGCCTCAAGTTACCATGTAATGAAGAAGTATTAAGCTTTTAGCAGTGCCTTAAGTATGGGATGGTAGCAAGTCAGGCTCTAAGGGCGGGGTCAGGTGGCATGTTAAGCTTTGGTTTTAGGCCTGCTGGCTCCTCCATGTGACATATGGTGGAACAGGACAAAGCTGAGCAGAGATCCGTCCCTTTTGGGTTTGATTTGTCTGCAGCTTGTTGTGGAGAAACATTTGGGTAGGTGGCCACTAATGTACAAGTTTGGGATACTGGCATTTCTTACAGGGGAAAGGACTGCTGGTTAGAGAAAGTGTGGGCCACTTTCTCATCTGGAGAGTCTGTTTGACTCTGATATATTTCTAAGCTTCAACTCTTTCTGCTATGGGATATGGAGTCCTAGTCTCCTTTTACTTTTTCTGGTTTTACCAAACCCATGTTGAAGTAACTGACCAAAGGTCATTACCCTACACAAAGATCTGGTTACTAGCTTTGCAAAATCTTTCTTTTCCTTCACTGGGGTCTGTCAAAATGTGGGAGACTGAGGATTGGGCTATAAGGATTGGGTACTTACCCTCTTCTCCCCTATTTACACACTGATGCTTCTCCCATATTTACACACTGATGCTTACCTGAAAATAGGGCAGCATCGGCTTCCACACCTTACCTGATCATTTCTGGCTGTTTAATCCTCTCCTCACCCTGTCCCTTCTACTTTCATGGAGTGTAGAGTCATTCCAGGTAGATTCATTTTTACATGGTTACTGTTGTCTGTTTTTCTGCTCTGACTCAAATTGTGTCTTGGGGAGAAAAGGGGAGGGAAGGCTTGCCGGGGGAGGGAAGTGGAATCTGATCATGTTGGAAGGTTTGTGATTAGAGCTGGAGCTTTCCTGGAGTTGGGGGGAATAACAGGGTGATCACCATTGATTGGGGGTCAGTATGATTCATAAAGAAGCCTGTTTTCACTGTTGCCTGTCCAACATTTTGCTGCTGACTATAGAGCGGAAGATTGGCATTGTAGCATTTTATACGCTCTCCAGAAGGAAAGCAGGCCTGGTTCATGAGCTGTTCTTTGGCAAATTATTGGTTTCTGTGCTTCAGCCCCAGCCTTTCTTTCTCTTGGCTGTCTGGGACCTGGTAGCTCCTTTTCTTCTGTCACCTTACTCATTTCACTTCTTCCCTACAGATTCAGGTTATTGAGGATGACAGGAACAGCCGGGGTTCAGAGCCATTTGTTACTGGAGTACGGGGCCAGGTGCCACCCTTAGTCACCACCAGCTTCCTGGTGAAAGACCAAGGTAAGAACAGCATTAACTCCTCCCTGCAGGGCTTTTTCTCCAAGATTATCAGCTTATGGATGGGGCTTGTCAGTCTTTAATCAGAGACCAGGCCCTCATTGGTCTCTAGGGGAAAAAAGCCACAATCAGCTCTAGCATTTGTGGTGGTAATGGCATGGATCAACAATGGAGAGCTGGTGTCTGGAGGGATTCTGTGATCTGACTCAGGTTTTCTACCTCCTCCTCCAGGAAATGCAAGTCCCCGATACATCCGATGCACATCCTATAATATCCCTTGCACATCTGACATGGCTAAGCAGGCTCAGGTGCCCCTGGCAGCTGTCATCAAGCCACTGGCAAGGCTGCCCCCAGAGGAGGTGAGTCAGGGAAGACACTAGAGTATAATGAAAGAGAGGAAGGGAGGGGGGGAATAAGATATCTTCCTAGATGTGATTCTGGCAGTCACAAAGGAAGAAGTCTTGGTTGGGTGGGAGGGGAGAGTACCTTCAATAACTTTCTATCCCAGGGCCCATGGCTGAAGCGAGTGGTAGGGATGAGAGCAAAAGCCCAAGAAATTGCTGGATGGGAGCAGGGTCCATAGGGGAAACAAACAATATGAAAAGAGGCAGGGCCAACTTGTAGGGGAGGAGAGAGCTGGGTGCTGGAGGCTTGCACAGCATGGTCATCTCCAGATGATTAGAAGCACATCATTCTCTTTTTTCTTGTATGCTATCATCTCAGGTAGGTTAGGGATGTTAGGATAGCATGTAAGAAAAAAGGTAGATTAGCATCCAGTAGTCCTTCTCTTACCTGGTTTGGGCCTTGATCTGTCACCCCAATACCTGAAATCAGCATGAAAAGAGAGAGAGCTTGGCAGCTGCTCTGCCAGGCCTTGGTAGGATACCCTCATGTTCATGCCTAGCTTATTGAAGTTAGGGTGGATTTTTCTATAACTAGAAGCTCAGGGCTCACTTTACATCTTGCTTCTCTTTCTGTCTTGCTCTGTGTTTTTCTTCTTTCTCTCTTCCTGGGTCTCAGTGGGGATGGTTGGACACCTGGCTACTGGTCTTTTATCTGTAGGGTGACATCTGCCTGGGGCATCACTAGCTGTCACAGAAACCGGGGGATTGGGGAGGACAAGTGTCATAGATACTTGGTTGGGGAATGAAGCAAGAGTCAAGATCCCTAGGGCAAGAGTGAAGGGAATTGAAGATAGGGCTAGAAATTAGAATCCTAGGGAATCTTTGGCTTTCTCCTCATATGCCCATGGCAGCCCTTGGCTTGTTATAGCCAGTTTCAGAGTCTCTCTTCTCTTTCAAGAAGAGGTGAAATACTGGAGATGAGGAGTAAGGAGAGGGAACTATAGAATTTAGACTTTTAGGGACATTCCTGTGACCAGTATCCTCATCATTTGTCCTCATTCCCCTTCACTGTACTCCCTCCCAGGCAAAATATCTGAGCCATGCTCTTCTCCATCCAAGTTGTCCCTCCTCATCTATTGCCACGTGTTTCAACCCACCATAGCTTCCCTCTGTGTCTGAGCCCCTCCCCTTTGCTCCTTAGGCTTCACTGTATGTCGTCGACCATGGGGAATCTGGCCCTTTGCGCTGCAATCGCTGCAAAGCATACATGTGCCCCTTCATGCAGTTCATTGAGGGAGGGAGGCGCTTCCAGTGCTGTTTTTGCAGCTGTATCAATGATGGTATGTTCATAGAGGCTGGGATTGGGGGGAAGATGTGGATTGCATTTTCATTGTTCTCTTTCTAGTTAGATAGATGAGGATCCATAGTTTAGGAACTGGGGAAATAGGGCACATATGGGGATATGGGGCAGTGGAGTGAGCTCAGCCAGGGCCAGATTTACTAAGATTGGGAGGGGACCTTTGAGTAACACTCTGCCATACTCCTGACAGTTCCCCCCCAGTATTTTCAACATCTGGATCATACCGGCAAACGTGTGGATGCTTATGACCGTCCTGAGCTATCCCTGGGCTCTTATGAATTCTTGGCCACTGTAGATTACTGCAAGGTGAGGGGAAGGTAGCATGGGGGAGGAGCAGCGGGTAGAGGACAATGAGACAGCTAAGAATTGCTGTGATCATTTCCTTCACCCCTTTGTTGTCCCCTTTGATGATGACTTCTTGCTAGTCAACTGGCCTGCTTACCAATATCCTGCTCCCCCCAACATTTCCTTCCTTTGCAGAACAATAAATTTCCCAGTCCTCCTGCCTTCATCTTCATGATTGATGTCTCCTACAATGCCATCAGGAGTGGTCTTGTTAGGCTCCTCTGTGAGGAGCTCAAGTCACTGTTAGACTTTCTACCTAGGTGAGAGTTATGGAGCCGAGGTGCTTCCTTTGGATAATGATGGGGGTGGAAGGCCTGGGTTGACTCAGCAGATGGAGCCTGATGTCATGAAGTTGGATGGTGGAGAAGGTGGCAAGTTTGGGTAACAATGTCTCCTTCTACAGGGAGGGCAGGGCAGAAGAGTCAGCAATCCGTGTTGGCTTTGTCACCTATAATAAGGTGCTCCACTTCTACAATGTGAAGAGCTCATTGGCCCAGCCACAGATGATGGTTGTATCTGATGTGGCTGACATGTTTGTGCCACTGCTGGATGGCTTCCTGGTCAATGTCAATGAGTCTCGGGCAGTCATCACCAGGTAAGAGCCAGTTGGTGGGGTAAAGCGAGGGTGGGGTGGGTGCAACCACGGAAAGCCAGAGAGTTGAGCAGAGGGGTCAGCAAATGGACAGGGGCTGTGCTTCAAGAGTTTTCCGAGTCTGGGGGCCAGATGACTCTTCAGGGATTTGGAATCTGGAATCTGGATAGCAATTTGGTTGCCTCCCATCACCTGTCTCTTCAGCTTATTGGATCAGATTCCGGAAATGTTTGCAGACACAAGGGAGACGGAGACAGTATTTGCCCCAGTTATCCAGGCTGGAATGGAGGCTCTGAAGGTAAGGCCAGAGTCCCTGGCAACCTCCTCTGCCTCACTTTCCTCTGACCATCTTACCCCCTGGGATACAAGCCCCGTTTCTTTAGTGGTTGATGACTGTCCAGTGAGTCAGCCTGTCTGACATAGTTGGCACTGAATAAATGACGGGATGGGATGAATGACGGAAGGGATGAATGAATAATGGATGAATAAAGGAAAGAATGAACAAGCAGTCATCTCTTCTTTCCTAGGCTGCTGAGTGTGCAGGGAAGCTGTTTCTGTTCCACACCTCCCTGCCCATTGCAGAGGCCCCAGGGAAACTGAAGAACAGAGATGACAGGAAGTTGATCAACACAGACAAGGAGAAGGTGTGGGATTGGGAGATGGGGGAGGACTTTCCATTACAGAGGAAGGTGGTGACTCTTCACAATGCAATAATACTCTTAACTTTCTTGAGGGGGGCCTGGGACTAGACACTCTGCCCTTTCACATGTCACATCCGTGACTGCTCCCACACCTCTCTACCCCATCTTATCCCAAAGCCCTTGGTAGATGTTCTGCTACTATTGCAAACTTCTATAAGGTAGATCTGAAGTCTTACATGTATTTGAATGTCCTGTATTACATATATAGTTCTCAAATAGGTTGGAGCTGAGATATTTGAACATTTTCTTCTGTTCCTCCCCAGACTCTGTTCCAGCCTCAAACAGGTGCCTATCAGACCCTGGCCAAAGAGTGTGTGGCCCAAGGCTGCTGTGTAGACCTCTTCCTCTTCCCTAACCAGTACGTGGATGTGGCCACGCTCTCTGTTGTTCCCCAGCTCACTGGTGGCTCTGTCTACAAATATGCTTGCTTTCAGGTACAGCATGGGACTCTGGGTGGCAGGGAGAAGCAGGATTGGGAATGTCTGTCTACATGTGGAGTGGCTCTTTAGCTGCTGAGTCATTAATAGGAATAGTGCTGGAGGAGAAGAGTGCATAGGGTAAAGAAGAGAGCCACGAGTATAGCAGTTAGGAGAATGGGGCTTGGAATCAGTCCTGGGTTGATATTCTGGCCCTACCTCTTACTAGCTGTATGATGTAGGATAAATTACTTAATTATTCTCTTCTTTGTTCCTTCATCTAAAAAATGGGATTTTAATACTTATTAATTAGGATTTGTCATCAGGACTAAGTAATTCTATGTAAAGCACTTAATGTGGCACCTGGCACGTGATAAGTGCTTCAAAGCTTTCATTATCATTATTATCATCTTCACTGTTATTGTTATTACAATTCAGCAGGCTTGTAGAGTAGATAGAGGGGGTGCAGGGAGATTGTCTGCAGGGTGTTATGTAGCTGGTGATGTGACTCTGGGCCTGGGGCGCTGCAGGTAGAGAATGACCAGGAACGGTTCCTGAGTGACCTGCGTCGGGATGTACAGAAGGTTGTTGGCTTTGATGCTGTGATGCGGGTCCGGACAAGCACCGGTCAGTCCTGGTTGGAGAAAAGCAGGTGGGGGGTCAAATCTGGGAGCGAAGCAAGTGGCACCTGTCATACCTTTAGCCTTGTCCCTGTGGCCTCAGGTATCCGTGCTGTAGATTTCTTTGGGGCTTTCTACATGAGCAACACAACAGATGTGGAGCTGGCTGGGCTGGATGGGGACAAGACGGTGACCGTGGAGTTCAAGCATGATGATCGGCTCAATGAAGAGAGTGGAGCCCTCCTGCAGGTGGCAGGCGGAAGGCAGGGGCTGGGGAGGACGTGTCAAGTGTCATTTCACTGTATATAAATATGCTGCAGGGAAGAGGGTAAGGGGTGAGCAGAGAGGATTAGAAGAGGCTGGGGAAGGGATGGCTCATGTCTTTCCTCTAGTTTAATAATATAGCAAAGGGGCAGATTTCAGGGGGCTTTGGTGAGGGAGGGGTGTGAGTTCCCCCTTTCTCCCTTCCCCTAGTGTGCCCTGCTGTACACCAGCTGTGCAGGGCAGCGACGACTCCGCATCCACAACCTGGCTCTGAACTGCTGCACCCAGCTGGCTGATCTGTATCGAAACTGTGAGACTGACACGCTCATCAACTACATGGCCAAGTTTGGTGAGGGAGGGGCAGGGCAGGGTGGGCTTAGGGCTGAGAGAAAGGTCCAGGATAGTCACTGATTCAACATGCCTGGGTACGTGTGGTGGTGGGAAGGCACATGTGATGGAGTGGCTGACTAGTGACTGTGCTATCTTCCTTTCCCTTCCTTACCCTTCAGCATACCGAGGGGTCCTGAACAGCCCTGTGAAGACTGTTCGTGACACTCTTATTACCCAGTGTGCCCAAATCCTGGCCTGTTACAGAAAGAACTGTGCCAGCCCCTCCTCTGCAGGACAGGTGAGGCAAGCATCTTGATGGAGGAGTTGTTGGGACAAATTTTTGCATTTGGGAGGCATTTCTCATGACCATTGACTTTATTTTGATAACCCCCTCAGTTGATCCTTCCTGAGTGCATGAAGCTACTCCCAGTTTACCTCAACTGTGTGTTGAAGAGTGATGTCCTGCAGCCTGGAGCAGAAGTCACTACTGATGACCGTGCCTATGTCCGACAGCTGGTTACCTCCATGGATGTGGCTGAAACCAATGTCTTTTTTTATCCTCGGCTCCTACCGTTGGTGCGACTGAGGGCTGGAGTGTGAGATATTGTACTGAGAAAGGGACATCATAGAAGGAGGAAAGGAATGGTTAATATTATCTGTGTCTGACACTAATGAATTTGTTTTTACTTACATTATCTGATGTAGTTTTCACACTGAGAGTTACTGAGAGACTTAAGCTTTCTGAAATTTTGTTTGTATGTGTATGGGGGCTAAACATCTCTTATGGTCCTTGGTAACCTCACCCCTTTCTTTTGTCTAGACAAAGTCTCCCATTGAGAGTACCACTGAACCACCAGCAGTTCGAGCATCTGAAGAACGTCTAAGCAATGGGGATATATATTTGCTGGAGAATGGGCTCAACCTCTTCCTCTGGGTGGGAGCGAGTGTCCAACAGGGTGTGGTCCAGAGCCTCTTCAGCGTCTCCTCCTTCAGTCAGATCACCAGTGGCTTGGTGAGGGCAAGAAGTCAAGGAGAATATGGGTGTGGAAATGCACTTTGTGTGATATGATTAGGAGCCAATAAAATTAGTGTGCTAGTCCCCTTAAATATCAGGGGACAATTGGAGGGGAGGGAGGGTGCTGTCATTCTTCCCAGGCTTCCTTGTTTTAGATATTGTATAAATTTGTGCTGCCCCATCTTGACTGGACTCAGGAGTACCTTAGCATAAGGATAAATTTTGTGTTCCAGAGTGTTCTGCCAGTTCTGGATAATCCACTATCTAAGAAGGTGCGAGGCCTCATTGATAACTTAAGGGCACAGAGATCGCGGTACATGAAGGTAACACTGATCCTGAACCCTGGATTTCTTACCTTGTCAAGTCCTCACTTGGAAGCGGGGTGGGGAGTGAGTAAGTGACTGAATAATGGGATTTCAGGGCATGTTTAAGTCCTTTTGGCCCTGCCTCATGACCCTGTGTTCTGGCCATAGCTTATCGTGGTAAAACAGGAGGACAAGCTGGAGATGCTGTTCAAGCACTTCTTGGTGGAAGACAAGAGCCTGAGTGGGGGAGCATCCTATGTGGACTTTCTCTGTCATATGCACAAGGAGATTCGGCAGCTACTGAGCTAGAGAAAGTGGGTAAATGGCATAGGGTCCCAGGCCAGCTTCCAGAAAGTATCCCAGGACAGCAGAGAAATCAGGACAGTCCCATATCTTATAAGTCATGTAAGCTGACCTCAGTCTCTTTGGGGGGAGGGGGAGGTATAAGGAGACACCTTTCTGGGCTCAAGTATCCTATACTCTGTCATGTCCTGCTGATGGAAGGTGCCGCTATCCACTCACTTTACCCTCCTTTTTCTGCTAATCCTGCGTAATGAATGTAGTTTCTCAGTTCACTGTATATGATTCGGTGTTGGGGTTTGGAGGCACCCAGACCCTGGCAATATTATATGTCCCTTTGGACCAGCCTCCAAGAAGAAAGGGGCAGGCAGGAAGGAGTGGAGATCCCAGGTTTACTATGGGGGGAGGGGCTAATTCAGCTCAGTGTCATCAGCAACTTCCTATATTAGGGATAAAACATACAGGTGCACAAGAGCTGGGGTATAGACCATAGGCGGTGGAGAGAAAAGTGGTTGGTCCTTCTTGGGCCTGGAAGTCAGCAGCCAAGTCAAAGTTACTGAGAGTGGTTGATTAGCTTTCTCTCTCTGCTTCCACTGCTTTCTCTTGCAATGATTGGTGATCACTCCGTGGACAGAGGCACAATGTCAGAGATGAATGAGCCTGGGAACTGAGTTGCAAAGTATATTAATACCTGGGAGAGGTACCAGCCTCCTTTCCAGCTGGAGAGGCCCCAACACTGGATGGTTCTGTAGGGAGCTTGGTCATCAACTTGCAATACCTCACAGAGCCAGCCCACGTCCCAGTCTGAGCTCCCACTGGAAACACTGCTTCTTCAAGATGAGGGTTGTGGGGAGAGAGGCGAAGGCGGCTGGAGCTCTGGTGTCTTTTGCCAGGACACCACTCAGGCTTTGGTATTGACAGAGTGGCTGACAGTTATCTTCCAACCCGAACTGGCTGGGGCAGGACAAAGGCTAGGCTTGATGGTGGCCAGGCTTGCCTGCTCCCAGCCTGGGATGACCCTGCTCTGGACCTCTCATTTCTCTTCATTGGTTTATTTTTCAATGCATCTTTAATTTGTAAAGAAATAAAATAAATTAAGATGTAACCAGCAGCCTCATTTTTTACCCGCGACGTATCACTTTCCCTCCAGTCTTCCTGCCAGGACTAGCCGGTCCTGGGAAGTGGCCGGCAGAGCGGAGCTGCGCATGCGCCATGTGCCCCCGTGGCGTAAGATCTCGTCCCGTTGCGACTCTGCGAGGCGGGGCCTAGTGCTGGCTGAGGGGCGCCGGCAGTCAGCGAGGATATGGGGGTCGGCCGCATCGGGGCTGTGCTCACCGCCCTGGGAATGCTTAGTGTCTGTGCGGCCAGCGGCTCTGGGCACGTGGCGAAGAGGGAGACCGGTGCGGAGGCGGAGGGGGCGGAGCCGTGGGATGGGGCGGTTTTCCGGCCGCCCTCGGCGCTGGGCGCGGTGGGGGTGGCGCGCAATCCGGGGACCCGGCGGCCAGGGAGGGAGGAGGCGGTTGACTTGCCGGTGCTGCTGTGGTGGAGCCCAGGGCTGTTTCCCCACTTCCCAGGCGACTCGGAGCGCATCGAGTGCGCGCGCGGCGCGTGCGTGGCGTCCCGGGACCGAAGGGTGAGGGGAGACTCGCGGACGCGCGCACTGCTTTTCTACGGCACCGACTTCCGCGCGTCTGAGGCGCCGCTGCCGCGCCTGGCGCACCAGAGCTGGGCGCTCCTGCACGAGGAGTCGCCTCTCAACAACTTTTTGCTGAGCCACGGTCCAGGCATCCGCCTTTTTAATCTTACCGCCACTTTCAGCCGCCACTCGGACTACCCGCTGCCGCTGCAGTGGCTACCTGGGACTGCCTATCTGCGCCGCGCCGCCCCTCCGCTCCAGCAGCGCGCGGAGTGGCGCCGCCGTGGCTACGCGCCGCTGCTCTATCTGCAGTCCCACTGCGACGTGCCTGCGGACCGGGACCGCTACGTTCGCGAGCTCATGCGCTACATCCCGGTGGGTGAGGGCATGGCGGGGCAGGGAGGGGAGGGGCAGGGAGGGGCAGGGAGGGGGGCGCGCAGGGCGGAGGCCAGGACCCCTGGTGTCCAGGCTGACATGCCGTACCGTCTTGACTGCTGTACTCTAACCCGCTTAGGTGGACTCATACGGGAAATGCCTGCAAAATCGGGAGCTGCCCACTCCGCGGTTACAGGACACAGCCACAGCCACCACCGAGGATCCAGAGCTCTTGGCCTTCTTGTCCCGCTATAAGTTTCATTTGGCCCTCGAAAATGCCATCTGTGACGACTACATGACAGAAAAACTGTGGCGCCCCATGCATCTCGGTGCTGTGCCTGTGTACCGCGGCTCTCCCTCTGTGAGGGACTGGATGCCCAACAATCATTCCATCATCATCATTGACGACTTCGAGTCACCTCAGAAGCTGGCAGAGTTTATTGACTTTCTGGACAAGAATGATGAGGAATATGTGAAATACCTGGCATACAAGCAACCTGGGGGCATCACCAACCAATTTCTTCTGGATAGTCTGAAGCATCGGGAGTGGGGAGTGAATGATCCTTTACTGCCTAACTACCTCAACGGCTTCGAGTGTTTCGTCTGTGACCATGAACTGGCTCGGCTGGATGCCGAGAAAGCCCACGCAGCCTCTCCTGGGGACATCCCTGTCCCTGAGCCTCACATTGCTCAGCTCTCACACATGGCCTGCCCGATGCCCACACCTGGATTTGGCAGTGTGGAAGAGATTCCTGAGAATGACAGGTAAGGGTAGCTGGGGTTCCCTGGGGCCATCAAATCAAATGATTTACTTACTTGCTTACTGTGGGCAATGAACTAGCACTAGGCGCTGAGGGGATGTTGTATAAGGAACTTATGACATGGGATCACTCTTTTAAGGTGTCAAGAGTGTAGTTGGGTAGATGAGACAAAAAGAAAAAGCTCAGTAAAAGATGTAAAATATAAATCAGGGCAACAACATATGAAAATCAGCTTTTGTGAGCAATATTTGCGATAGTGATTCAAAAAAAGGCTTCAACCAGAGTTCAGGGAAATGATGAGGGAGAGATAAAGTTGGGCAGATAAGCTGGGGCCAGGCTGTATATAGCTTGAATACCAGGCTCAGGAGTTGGACTGTCCTGAAAATCAAGTCAGCTTTTTATTGAGCACCTTCTAATTGGTGGGGGTGGGGATGAAAAATACAAAGATGAGTATTTTTAGGGAGGTTTGTCTGCAATAGTTAGGGTTTACACCTGTTAACCTGACATAATTTTATAAAGCACCTCCTTTCACTCTTAAAATTACTCTGATTTCGATGATAAATTTTCTGTTCGCTCTAGACAGAATAGAAGGAATGATTTCAAAAGATAATTAACAATGGTGAGCAGTGTGGATTGGAAGGGAAGTGAGGAAGCTACTGCAGGAGGTGGCAGGAGGTGGTGGCATTGGGAAACAAAGTCAGCATGGGAGGTGGGGTGGGAAAATGTTGAAACCACTTGCATCAAACCTTTTTTGGGGGAGAGGCAATAAAAGGTTATTAAGCTTGAGAAAGAGAGGCTGCTAGAATGGCCTGCAGAGACTGACTTGGACAGTGGATGGCAGCAGAGGGCTGTTTATATATGCTGCTGGCACAGGTTGGTCCTGGGAATGGAGTCCTCCATCGAGTAATTTGTATCTAGTTTGTGCTGAACATAATATGATTTACTAGAGGAAAAGTGTAAAACAATGTAAAACATTAAAAATAATAATAATAATATTCAGGGCCAGCCCGGTGTGGCGTAGTGGTTAACTTCGCGCACTCCACTTCAGCAGCCTGGGATTCGTGGGTTCCAATCCCAGGCAGGGACATACACACTGCTCATCAAACCATGCTGTGGTGGTGTCCCACTTACAAAATGGAGGAAGACTGGCACAGATGTTAGCTCAGCGAGTCTTCCTCAAGCAAAAAGAGAAAGATTGGCAACAGGTGTTAGCTCAGGGCCACTCTTCCTCACAAAAAAAAAAAATTCAGGCTATATCTTATCTAGACACTGTATGCCACTGCACTTTCATTTTTATTATTAAAAATAAAAGTGCAACTTAAAAGGTAACCATCTGAGAAATCCTTGGGCCGGCTCCGTGGCTTAGCAGTTAAGTGCGTGCGCTCTGATGCTGGCGGCCCGGGTTCGGATCCCGGGCACGCCCCGAGGCACCACTTCTCCGTCCAACGCGAGGCCGAGTCCCACGTACAGCAACTAGAAGGATGTGAACCTATGACATACAACTATCTACTGGGGCTTTGGGGGGAAAAAATGAATAAATAAAATCTTTTTAAAAAAAAAAAAAAAGGTAACCATCTAAATATGCTCCCTTGCTTTCCTTAGGGGGAACACTGTTTCCATAGTCTGGCCCCTGCCCTGCCTGCCTCTGACCTCCCTCCACATTTGGGAACCAAGAGCAGGCAAGTCAGGAAGTTTAACTCATTGGGTGGGTGTGTAATATATTCATGTTTGTGGCTTACTGCATGTCACCTGGACTAGTACTGGATTTACTTTACATTTTCTTCCCTTCAAAGCAGAGCCCTGTCCCTAGCCAGGGACCACTCTATCTGCTTAAGATTTCTTTGGCCCCATTCAGAGAAAGGCAGGATTCATAGCTGTGCTGAGGTTCCATAATCCAACTCCCATTTTGATCTTTCAGCTGGAAGGAGATGTGGCTGCAAGATTATTGGCAAGGTCTGGACCAGGGGGAAGCTCTCACTGCCATGATCCACAACAATGAGACACAGCAGAGGAAATTTTGGGATTACCTACATGAGATCTTCATGAAAAGGAACCAAAATCTCTGATTACCCTTGTGAGAGTGTTTAACTTGGTAGAGCTAAAGAGATGGAAGTCCTTAATCTACCATGGGACATGAGAGGCATCCGCTGTACAAGAACAGTGTCTTCAAAGAACTGAATTCAAAGAATTCCAGTTATATCCACTGATATTTTATCCTAATGATGTGTAGCTAGGGTCTCAGCTAGTGGTAATAGGGCCACTCCTCAAGAAGAGATGGAGACATCCAGTTCTTGGTTTAGTGGGAAAAAGAAGCCTGAAACACCCATTTGATTCAAGGTGCTGACCCAAGAGAATTTTTAAAGAACTTATTTTTCTAGCCATTTCATCCTCTCAATTGTGATTGGGATAATAACTTAGTACTTGGCTGTGAATGAGGTAAGATAAGCCAGATTTAGGGTCTTAAAACTTCTATGCTATTCCTCAAACTTCAGTACCTTTCCTAATCTCTTGCTTTATAAACTGTTAATTGGTGGTGAAGCAGAACTCCTGGTGGGTTGTATTCTGATTCTCTGGAGTTGTGGTTTTTACATCATTTACTTTGAATTTCATGTCAAACTTTTTACTTTATTATTTTTGTGTGTGTGTGAAGATCAGCCGTGAGCTAACATCTGTGCTAATCCTTTTTTTTTTTTGCTGAGGAAGACTGGCTCTAAGCTAACATCCATCGCCAATCCCCCTCCTTTTTCTCCCCAAAGCCCCAGTAGATAGTTGTATGTCATAGTTGCACATCCTTCTAGTTGCTGTATGTGGGACGCGGCCTCAGCATGGCCGGGGAAGTGGTGCGTCAGTGCACACCCGGGATCCGAACCTGGGGCGGCAGTAGCGGAGCGCACTCACTTAACCGCTAAGCCATGGGGCCAGCCCAAACTTTTTACTTTATTTTTTTTTTTTTTAATTTTTATTTATTTTTATTTTTTTTCCCCCAAAGACCCAGTAGATAGTTGTACGTCATAGTTGCACAGCCTTCTAGTTGCTGTATGTGGGACGCGGCCTCATTGTGGCTGGAGAAGCGGTGCGTTGGTGCCTGCCCGGGATCCGAACCTGGGCCGCCAGCAGCGGAGCACGCACACTTAACCGCTAAGCCATGGGGCCAGCCCAAACTTTTTACTTTAAATGGCTTTTTCTTTCCTGGTTTTCCACAATTTCTGATGGAGATGCAGCAGCCTTGCCACCATTCCGACATTCATTCTCTCCTGCATTAAACTGGCTATAGATTTGACAGCTTTTCTTACTGTAGGTTTGCTTCTTATCTAAGGCATATCTGGAATTCCTTCTATCCTCAAGATTCAGTGGCTAATGTATGCCATGTCAATTTAATGAATTGTCCTGCTCTGTTTTAGGTTAGAGATGGAGACTAAGGTAGGAAATGATGGTGGAAAATTATATATATATATAAAATATTTAAATGATTTTGAAATGTTAAAATAGGCCATTGTGAATCAAAGTGCAGATTTTTATAGGTCTTTTGTCTACCTAGTGAATTCTTCCTTCTGTTTTATTATATGGTACAAGTCTCATTTTCCCCCAGAGTCATGAAAATTATGGTCAAAAAATAGCCCAGCAATACAGCTCTAGTAATTATCTCATATTCTGTAGCACTTTTCAAGTGGGATGAATATTCCAGTTTCATTCATTCAATTAGTAGTTGATATCCTTCTATACAACTTTATAGTACTTACTGAGACGACATTTTGATGGAGCCCACCCAAGGCCCTACGCTCAAGGGGATGAGAGGCGAGGCAAGAGATTTAAGCCACCACAAGTGGCTGGCTAAATAAAAAGCTGTTAGTCAGATTTGGGGATGTAGCCAAACCCTTCTATTGCTGTGGTTTGAACATACAGCTTAATGGGCAGGGAGACCATTGGCTTTTTCTGGAGTGGTGGAACAAGAGAGAAGACCTTAAACCTTAGAGCTACCTTGGTTGTAATGTTGTATTATGAATTATCACTAGAGAAGTCCTATAGCTTATCAATATATCTAGTTTAAATTAGTGTGTGTATATGTTTGTGTATACACACACACATTAATTTACAACCATATGTATATATGTTAGATGTCTCAACAGGTCCCATACTTATTGTGACATCTAAAGATGTGGCCAAGGAAAGCTATAATTTAGGCTGGATTTCACTGCCAGGGCAGTTCTTTTTTCATTGTATTCTTTAATAAAAAATGCCCTTCATAACAGCATGGAAAGTTTGCTTAACTTGTTTGGACTTTTGCAGAAAAGAACAAGAGGAAAAGACAGACCTTCAAAAATAGTTACGTTAAAATTTGATATAGAGTGACCCACAAAAGAAGTCAAATTCATGTCTCTGATTTCTAAGCTTGCAATCTATTTAAATGCAGATGCTGATTTATGGTGCAAAATACAAATTACCCAAGTGCAAACTAAGGTTAGGACTCAAATTTAATCATGTGCAATAAAAAGGGTAAGTAATGCTTATACAAGGTGTAGAATCATCCTTATCTCTAATTACACCAGTTCACATTGGCATTCCTTGAGCACTGTTATGTACAGAGTGGGCCAGATGTTTATGAATGATTGTAGCTGAAGACTCACGCTTGCTTTGAAGTCAGTGCTTCCCAGACTTTCTCCTTTATTCCTGTCACCATAAAAGTATTGACAAAAGAGCAGGGTAAACTAGGTTCTACATTTCCACAAGGGAAAGCAGAATCGGGAATAGCCACGTGGTACTTACCAGCTAAAGGCTTCACTTTCCCTATGGAAAAGCAAGCATTGTGAATTTTCTCTGGTTTGGCGCCCAGCCTGCTCTGTATACAGCAGCAGGTTTGGGGGTATTGGTGGTAGAAGTGTCTGATAGGAATCAGTTTTATTTGTTTTGCTGGAGTAGGGGGTGGAGCATTGGGCTGATGCCTTTATTACTCCAGGTGTTGCTATTTTCTATTATCTCTGGTTTCATTTTGTATAATAAATGGCTTCTTTTAAACAGTGTCTTATGCTTGGTTACGCTTCTGGGGGTGAGCATGATAAAGTTGGAGACTTGTAAAAATATTTCAAACATTTGTTCATTTAACATGTATTTATTGGCACTACTCTAGGCAATGGGGATTCTGCACTGAACAAGATAGACAAGGTTCCTACACTCATGGTGCTTACATTTTAAGTGGGTGTTGAGGGGCCGGCCCCGTGGTGTAGCAGTTAAGTGCTTGTGCTCCGCTGCTGGCGGCCCGGGTTCAGATCCCGGGCGTGCACTGAGGCACCGCTTGTCAAGCCATGCTGTGGCGGCATCCCATATAAAGTGGAGGAAGATGTGCACGGATGTTAGTCCAGGGCCAGTCTTCCTCAGCAAAAAGAGGAGGATTGGCATGGATGTTAGCTCAGGGCTGATCTTCCTCACAGGGAAAAAAAAAAGGGTGTTGAGGGTAAGGCTGTAAACAAATAAATGAACAAGATAATTCAGACTGTGACAGGGGCTATGAAGAAAATAAAACAGGTTGATGGTGGTGGGGATAGAAGTTAGGGAAGGTCTCGCTGACACGAACTGAGACTCAACAGAAGCAAAAGAACCCCTTATGTGGAGATCACTGGGAAGATTCCAAACATGTGACAAATGATTTTATCACACTAAATTTACACAACCAAATAAATATTGCTCCTCCAAAGTAGTCATCTTATGAACTACAAGCTTGTTCAAGTTACACTTCTATTTCCAGAAACATTTCTTCCTCATTTGTAAATGCCTTGAGAATCCATGGCACATCTTTGGACTGAGTTTTGTACACAGCTATAAGTCACTTAGAACCAAATCTGATAAAGCTAGGCATCACAACTGAAGGGCCAAGTCTATAAATATGAATGATCCTACCAAGTATCTTCACAGTACTGGTGAGAAGATTAAATAAAACAATGAATGTCAAAGTGCTTAAACCTCACCCTACCCAATGAGATCATTACAAATGAGCTAAGGCTATCTTAGTGGTAGCAGCTGTTCAAATGAGCCTAATTTTTCTTTGCGGCTTCGGAGTTGTTCTAAAGGTAGTCAAAACCAACAGCTCTTGAAGGTTCATTAAAACAAAACAAAAATCTTTCCCAACGTAACATCTCAAAGTTCCATAGTTTGATTCGCTCTCAACTTCTCTGCCCTTGCCTATGTCAATCACCCCGCCCCCACGAGAAACTAGTGTCTATTTATCCGGGCCCTTTCCTGGGTGTTCCCGGCCCAGTATCGCCACAGTTTAATACAAAAGAGTGGCCTGGGTCAGCGTACGAACTGCAAAGATTCTCCTTCTAACCTGCACGCGGGTCTGGACCTGCCGGCGTCCGAACCCAGCACCCGGGAGACCGTTAAGAAAAGAAGCAGGTGCACGCGGCTGGCCCGCGGAGCTTGCCCTGGGCCGCACGCCGAGCCCCGTGGAGCTCGTAGGGATCACGCAGGGTCACGCACGGCGCCGCAGAGCCTGCCGGGAGCTCGGTGCGCGATGGCGGCTCCCAGCCTGAGAGGTCGCCTAGCGCGGCTTGGAAACCCGCGGAGTCCCATACTGAAGCCCAACAAGCCTCTCATCCTAGCTAACCGTGTCGGGGAACGGCGCCGAGAGCGGGGCGGTGAGCAGTCGGAGCCATCGAGGCCCCAGAGCGGAAGCCAGAGGGGTGCAGGGGGCGGCTTGGTGGGAGGGCCGGAAGGTAGGGTGGTCTCCTTGTGACTGAGGGTCCCCCGGTTCTGCCCCTCCAGAGGCGACCTGTATCACGGAGATGTCGGTAATGATGGCTTGCTGGAAGCGGAATGAATTCCGCGACGAAGCGTGCAGAAAAGAGATCCGGGACTTCTTTGATTGTGCTTCGAGGGCTGAGGTGACAGAAGGTTTCTGGGATGCTTTTGGGAGGAGAATGGGGGGATACAATAATGGCTTTCCCTGCCTCTTGCTAGGTGGTAAGAAAGTCCTTCTCATTCTAAAAAGGCGAGGAAAGTTTTGGGAGCTACTTCACCCACGCCAGAGTGGGAAAGGTTACAGTTTTGAAGGCACTGTGATCTGGGGCGATTTGTTTCACTGCACTGAGCTTTAGTTTTACCAGATGTAAAATGAAGTTAATATTACCCACCTTACAGAATTTTGCGAGTGTCAGATGAAGGAATGAATGTGAAAATCACTTTGTAAAATTTAAGTTGCTTTTCAAATTGACGTTGTTGTCTGAAATAGAATTGAAGATAGGGAAGGGCAGGTTGTTTGGTTTCCAGCCTAGATTTAGTAGCCAGCTGGCGTGGTAGTTTCAGATCATACAGTCATTTGTAGGTCCCAGGTCCCTTTTGTTGAAAGGGGACTGGGAAGATGACACAGATCTGTTCAGGCTAGTTAATATTTTAGTGTGCTTTGGGGCGTTGAGAGAACTATTGACTT